CCAGGGTTGATTGTAACTTTGAGCAATGGTGTCAAACAGGTGATAGCAAATCATTCAAGTCATATGGTGGTAAAGAAAGAACAACAAAAAGTTCACCTAATCCATCTTTCCCCAAACGTTCACCGTTTTTCGCCTGAGGATTCACAAGCTTACTGAGTTCTGATGTTAAATGGCCATTTGTAATGTGTGCGCTCATTGTATGACTGTAAAGGATGTAAACATCCTGCCTAATCTTATCCTCATCCAGTAATCACACCAAGCATCTTCCACCAGCAGAGAAGAACAGGAGCTTTGGTGGTGCTGGGGTGTCACTATTAACAATTTGCATTGGAAACTCTATGCAATTTTACTTCCATTGTGCCCAAAGTCCCTAAGGGGGATTTTTACCTCCCAACAGCTAGCTTATTCAATACAGATGAATATGTTTACCTTCCTAGTGAAAAGAAGTTGTGCAATATGATCAAGCAAGCTGGAGAGGGTTCAAAAGAGATTTACCACGATGTTGCTGGGTATGGAAGGTTTGAGTTATAAAGAAAGGCTGGAGAGGCTGGGACTTTTTTCACCGGAGCGTAGGAGATTGAGAGGAACTTGGAAGAAGTTTATAAAATAATGAGGTATAGACAGAGTTAATGGTCGTTGTCTTTTCCCTAGGATGGGGGATTTCAAAACTAGGGGGCACATTTTTAAGGTGAGAGGAGAGAGATTTAGAAAAGACATAAGAGGCATACTTTTTACACAGAGGATGTTTCACTTGAGAATTGAACTTCCTGAGGAAGTGGTGGATGCGGATACAGTTACAATGTTTAAAAGTCATTTGGATAAGTACATGAATAGGAACAGTTTGGAGGGATATGGATCAGGAGCAGGCAGGTGGGACTAGCTTAGTCTGGAATTATATTCGGCATGGACTGGTAGGACCGAAGGGTGTGTTTCTGTGCTATATGACTCTACGACTCTATAACAAGATGCCCGGTGGGGAATGGAGGTAATCTGGAGACATGTCATAATTGTGGAGTCCTAGAGAAGTATGTATGTCTATTATAGGACATGCACAAGATGTGCCAGATACTGGGGAGAATGAAAGCTAAACTTATATTACCCCCAGGATCAGCACTAAGACCCCTTACTCTTCTTAACTGTCATGAATGTTCTAACTGAGCAAGTGAAATGGAAGAAATGCCATGGTGAACAATGTTTGTAGATGCCATTGAGCTACATGCTGGGGATGATCAGAATATGACCAAAAACCTGGAGAAATGCAGGAAAGTACTGAAAGACAAGGATATGAAGATTGTCAGCTAAAGACTAACTGTTGAGATCGAACAAGGAAAGATGGTCAGTGTGAAGGAATGAAAATCCTGGGTAAAAACTTGAAGAAAGTGAGTATTTCAAGTACCTTAGGTCAGTGGTGACAGAAGGCAGAAATGTGGGACTGGAAATTAAACATTGGATAAGCTCTAGTTGAAGTAATGGGAAGACGTGTAATGGACTCCTGTGTCAATGAAAAGTCTCAGTGAGATTGGAAGAAAGAATCTACAAGACATTTTTGAAACCAGCCTTGTTATATAGTGCAGACACTTGAACATCATTCAAGAAGAGGTGAACAATGGCTGAATATTAATAAGATGC